CGTGCCTGTAATCCCAGCTACTCGGGAGGCTGAGGCAGGAGAAGTGCTTGAACCCAGGAGGCGGAGGTTACGGTGAGCCGAGATCGCGCCATTGCACTCCAGCCTGGGTAACAAGAGCAAAACTCTGTCTCAAAAAAAAAAAAAATTAAACATTTACTAGAAATCATAGAAATGTATGTAAACATTCAAACTTTATGAAAATTAACAATATTTTTGATAAAATTTTAGTGCATCTTACTCTCTTAAATGCATAAAAATGCAGGACAGGCCGGGCACAGTGGCTCATGCCTGTGATCCAAGCACTTCAGGAGGCCGAGGCGGGCAGATCGCAAGTTCAGTAGTTTGAGACCAGCCTGGCCAACATAGTGAAACCCTGTCTCTACTAAAAATGCAAAATATTAGCCAGGCATGGTGGTGGGCACCTGTAATCCAAGCTACTTGGGAGGCTGAGGCAGGAAAATCGCTTGAACCTGGGAGGCAGAGGTTTTGGTTTTGGTGAGCCGAGATTGATGCCATTGCACTCCAGCTCAGGCAACAGTGGGAGACTCTGTCTCAAAAGAAAATACATAGGACAAATACATTTCAACAATCATTCCTTTGCATTGAATTTACACTTAACAAAATTGTTCATTATGTGAATAAGAGCTAATACTTTGCAGTTAGTGTAGAAATGCACTTAATAGAAAAACTGTATGGGTTGGGAACCATTGTTATTCCCATTGTACAAATGAGAAGACTGGAACACAGAAATACCATCCAAGGTTGATTATGGTTTGGATGTTTGTCCCCTCCAAATCTTGTGTTGAAATGTAATCCCCAATGTTGGAGGTTGGGCCTGGTGGGAGGTGTTTGGGTCTTGGGGGTGTATCCCTCAGAATGGCTTGGTGCTGTCCTCATGATAATGAGTGAGTTCTCATTTTAAGTTCACATGTGATCTGGCTATTTAAAAGAGCGTGGCCCCTCCCCCCTTTCTCTCTTGCTCCTACTCTTGTTATATGACCTGTTGGCTCCCCATCACCTTCCGTCATTGTAAGTTTCCTGAAGCCTCACTAGCAGCAGATGCCAGTACCATGTTTCCTGTAAAAGCCTGAAGAATCGTGAGCCATTTAAACATCCTTTAAAAAAAATAGACCGGTGGCTCAAGCCTGTAATCCCAGCACTTTGGGAGGCCGAGGCGGGTGGATCACAAGGTCAAGAGATCGAGACCATCCTGGTCAACATGGTGAAACCCCGTCTCTAGTAAAACTGCAAAAAATTAGCTGGGCATGGTGGCGCGTGTCTGTAATCCCAGCTACTCAGGAGGCTGAGGCAGGAGAATTGCCTGAACCCAGGAGGCGGAGGTTGCGGTGAGCCGAGATCGCGCCATTGCACTCCA